TGGGTCTGCTTTATTCTACGTATTCACCTGTGGATGGACATTCGGGTTTACTCCAGTTTTTTGCTCTTGTGCATACATCTGCCATGGACATTTATGTGCAAGCTGCTGTGTGGACATGCTTTCCTTACTCTTTAGTAAAGAACTACGATTGGAATATCTGGGTCATATATTTGTCATAGTTTTAACTTTTTGCGAGACAGTTTTTATTTCAAAGAAGGTGCAGGATGCCTGTTCTTATCAGCAGCGTGTGAGGGTCTGGTCGGCTCCAAAATCTTGTCAGAATGGGTGAGGCCATTCAGTGCTTGTGGTGTGGTATCTCATTGCGGCTTTATTTGCATTTCCCTGGTGACTAAAGATTCTTCAGTGAGTATTGCCATTCTTAGGCTTGTTTGTTGAAGTGATTCTTCAAATTATTTGCCAGTTTTTAAAACTGGGCTCTTTATCTTTTTAAAATAGGATTACCAGGAGTCTTTGTATATTCTGGATACAAGTCCTTTGTTGGATATATGTATTACAGGTACTTTCTCCTGCTCTGTGGCTCCCTTTACCTATTCTTACTGGTGTCCTTTGGAGAGGAAATTTTTTTCATTTTTACAAAGTTATATACATATATATATATATATAAAATTTTTTCTCTTATGGTTTATGCATTTCGTTTCCTATTTAAGCTCATTACCTCTGCCAAAGTTACAAAGATTTTTCTCCTGTTTTCTTCTAGAAGGTTTGTAGTTGTAGCATTTACATTTAGTTCTGTGATCCATTTTGTTAGTTAATTTGTGTGATGCTGTGAACTAAGGGCCTATGTCCATTTATTTTTTTATATATATATTTTTTTCTATGTCCATTTCTTATGGCAAGTGGCTCTCCACTTGTTCCAGCACCATTTGTTGGAAAGACTTTCTCCTGATATCTTAATCAAAACCCAGTTGTATATATTTCTGTGCTCTCTATTCTCTTCCATTGATCTATAGGTCTACCCTTCAGCCAATAATAGACTCTTGCCACACATATGATAATATACAATGAATTATAATATAGCTTTTGAAATTAATGAATTAGATCTACATATATCATTTAAATTCTGAAATTACAATATTAAGGGAACAAAACAAGTGGTAATATAATACAAACAATATGACTATTAGAAACCCATAAAATAATAATATATAGTATTTTGTAGAAACTTATATGTTATAAAAGTATTTCTTTTAATTTGACAAGATATATATACCTGCGTCCTAGATAATAGTTGCCTCCAATAAAAGTAATTAATTTAAAAAATAATATAGTCTTGGTCACTACAGTTTTATAGTAAATCTTGAAAACAGGTAGTGTAAGTCCTTCATTTTGTTTTATTTTAAAATTGCTTGACTATACTAGGTTATTTGCATTTCCATATAAATTTTAGAATTATCTTGTCAATTTCCATTCCTCCCCCATAAAATGCATGCTGGAATTATAACTAGGACTGCACTTAACCTACAGGTGAGGTGGCGGGGAAATCACATCTTTATAATGTTCAGTCTTGAAATCTAAAACATGGTTGTATATCTCCATTCACTTACATTTTTTTATTTTAATTTCTTTTAACAGTTTTCTATTCTTATTGAAGAGCTCTCACATGCCTTTTCTTAAACATACTATTGAGTACTTAGAGTTTCTTACACTATCATAAGTAGAATTGATTTTGAAATTTTATTTTCCAATTATTTGATGCCTATATCTAAGCATATAATTAACTTCTATATATTAATCTGTTATCCTTCAACCACTCTAAAGTCACTTATTGTGTTTTTAATTCTAAAAACTATGTCAACTGCAAAAATAATAGTTTTATTCCTTCCTAATCTGTCTGCTTAAAAAATTTTGTCTTTATTGAAATGGTTAAAGAGGTCTCTGTTTGTTTGCTTTTCAGCAATTTGACTATAAGTATAGGCTCTCCCCCACCCTATGTTCATCCCGTTTTGTGTCCTCTGAGCTTTATGAATTTGGTAGTTTGTCTCTTACACTAAATTTGGTTAATTGTAGTCATTATATTTATTTTTTTAAGACTCTGTTCTCTCTCCTCGCCTTCTGAGACTCCATTTATCTATATTTAGAACTTCTGATGTGGTCCCATGAATCCCTTAGACACTATTTACTCATTTTCAGTCTTTCTTCTCTCTCTTCTTCAGATTGGTCTTTAAGGCCAATGATTATTTTCTGTTATCTTCATTCGTATTTAAGCCCATCCAGTGATTTAAAAAAATATTCATAAGTCTGTTTCATAATGATTTAATATATTTTCCTCCTAACAATTCTTATATTTTGTGTTCATTGTAATCATCTTTGCTTTACCTACCCGAGCACAGGTGGTGTTGTGTTGAAGTCCTTGTGCACCTGGGTCATCTTAGGTTGGCCTGTGTCCATTGTCTTTTCTCTTGGGAATGGATGGAACTTTCCTGCTTCGCCACATGTTGGATACATTTGCATCGAATGTTAGAAATTGTGAATTTATTGTATGAAGATTTTTGGATTCTATTTCTCCCAAGAATGTTGATATTTTGTTTTTCGCAGGCAGTTGACTTGGTTAGACTCAGGCCGCCGTGCCTGGGGAGAGCAGCCGTTGTTTTTTCTTTAGCTGAGCTGGTTGGAGTCTGCCTTACACATGAGTGGTTCAGAGGTCAGCCAGAGACGTTGCAGAGATCACACACCGATCGTGAGGCACCCCCCTGGGCTGCCCCTTTTCTCCCTGGTGGACTTGGTGGAGCTGAGTGGGATCCATCCACTGGGTCCTCAGTTTCGAAACACAGCAGATTTTCTCTTGGTGCTTCAGCTGCCCTGCGCCATATGGAAATTGCAACCTAACCTCAGGGCAAAGCTGGATGCATGGGAGGTTCCTCCTATGTTGCCTGTTTTCCCCAAGTCTCAGCTCCTGCTTTTGTTATTTCCAGAGCCTTCCAGTAGTGCTTTTGTTTGTCTTTGTATTTTGTCCAGAATTTATTGTTATCTGTAGGAGGGTTGGTCTGTGAATATCTTCCAGACCAGAAGCAGAATCTTCACTGTGTTCAGTAGTATTCATTTTGCAATATAGAATTTATGTTTTTGACCCCCCCCCTCTTTCTTGAAATCAGTATTGGACACAAGCATTTTCTATAATATCTTATCATCATCTAGGCTCATTTAATATTCCAACATAATTAACTCTTCCACTCAAGTTTCCCATTAAGGTTATTTTCCATTTTCTTATATTTATAAATAGCATTGCAATGAGTATAATACTGCATAAATCTTTTTTCTGTATTTAGGATGGTTCCCTTAGGGTGAATTCCCAGAAGTGGGTCAAGAGGGATGGACATTTTTAAGGCATTTTTTATATTGCCAAATTGCTTCCCAAAAGGGCTGTACACATTTACACTGCTTGCAGCAATTTGGGAAAATAATTATTTCATAAAACCCTTGTCAGCACTGGATATTATTAAACGAAGAAATAACATTTCTATTTCAAAGAGGAAGAATTATAACCAAGTATTTATGAATACGCATAATATTTTCATGCCAGAGGAGAGATTTTTCTGGTCTTAAGAGTGGAGAGGCTAAAATGAAATACATGTATTAGGAGAGGAAGACTCCAAAAAATGAAAATCTGAACAAATATTTAAAGTGAATAACAATGAAGGAGGAATTTGGGGAGTATGAAGAAAACATGTTTGCACAGAAAACTAAAAGATGGAGAAAAGGCCAAAAAATGTGTAACAGTTTAGTCCAAACTTATGAAAATATTCCCCAAAAGGCTGAAACTTCAAATTTATCAATGCCTAATGGGGACATTTGAAAGAAAACAAACAAAACTAAAACAAGCTTTTAAAATTGGTTTTGAAACAATAAGAACAAGGATATGATTGTCTCGTTGCATGAAACAACCAAAACCTTATTACCAGATGAAAGTACAAAACTAAATTCATTCTGAATCTGTCAGATCTGTCACTTTTATCAGGAAAAAAAAATCTAAAAACTAGGAAAGGGAGAACGAAGATGCTTATAGGAATGGAGTGCTAACACACAGAGGAGGTTCTGAGTCTTTACTTTGAAGTGTCTGCCTCAATTTCCTTCTCCAGACCCAACCCCACAAATTACTTTTCCACGGCTAAATTAATTTGAGAGTATTTTTTTCAGAACTACAGAGTTAGTTATACTCAGAGTTTTAGGTAGAGGAGGTTCTAACATTCTGAAGAAGAACTAATCTTATCCTGCTTTTCAATAGTTGATGATGTACCATTGAAACTTTATTTTCATTCTCAAGAACAAGAAGGTCAGTGTACCTAGTGAACATGCAGGGAGGGAAGCTGAGAGCGCTAGAAGCCATCATGGGTTCACTCAGAATAAGTCACCAGGCCAACTGCACTTCTACTTTGAATAGCTTTGTTGCACAGGGAGTTACCACCGACACAGGATCTGGGTGTCAGCAGATATTTCATATAGTTTTCTCATGAGTGTATTAATTTTAATATTATTTTTTTATTTGTTTTTAGAGAGAGAGGGATAGAGAGATAAAAACATCGATGAGAGAGAAACATCACCAGTCAGCTGCCTCCTGCACACCCCCTACTGGGGATCAAGCCTGGTGTGCTCTGACTGGGAGTCAAACCATGATCTCCTGGTTTATAGGTCAATGCTCAACCACTGGGCCACACCGGCCGGGCATAAGTGTATTAATCTTTACATGTATTTATCTGAATAGTCTATCGCCCAGGTAAGTGCAGGCCCTGTGACGGCAGGGAGTATGTCTGTTTCACTTCCCAGTGCATACCCCCTGCCCCACTGCCTGGCCCGTTGTAGAATCTCAACAGATATTTACTGAGTTTTTTTTCCAAAGGGGAAGACTGTAGATTGCTTGGTAGTCGGGTCAGATGCTTCGTATTTATTTGATTACATGTACTGGAAGAGTTTGTATTATGGGGCTGATGTCAACCTGAAGGGAGTTCTCTAGCCATGAGCTATCATGGTCTGTTCTCATTCAGGTCTCCTCAATGCTGATGCCTTTGCCTTAGATCAGGGAGGACTGATGTGGGAAACTGGGCATAGCAAGGACCGAAATTAGCCTTCCCACCCAGCCCCTTCTCCTCACTGACTGGGTGGCCTTGCCCAAGACAGATAACCCTTGCAGACGTCAATTTCCTAATATTAAAACAAGGATAGCAGCACCAACCTAATTATATTCTCCTATGTACTGTATGCTTTTAACATACATAACCTGCTAGTCTGTGGCTTCACATGCTGTAAACACTCAGTAACTATTGTTTCTTTTCCTTACATGCTGCTCCTTTCATATTTATCCAATTCACAGAGGGCGTGCTGTCAGGGAAGTAGGAAAACATGAGATCATAGGATTAGGAGCAGAACACTAACTTTAGACACTAGAAGAAGGGCCAAAAGATACAGATGCAATTTGGTGGTACAAAACGTTCTTTACTTTGATTTAGAAAAATCAATTCTTCAAATACAGGGTGGGAAAGACCAGAATTATTTGCGGTGCGTGTGAACAAAGAACCGAGGGCACACCGAGTCCAAGTCCGCTGCCCGTACAGCAGAAGCAGCCCTGGGCCGCATTATAGTCAGTCTCATGTTCACAGAAATGGAGGTGAGAGTCCATTTCTCTGTGTGGCTCAGCTCACACCGGGTTACCATGCCTAGCTCTGGGCATCAAAACTCAAAAAGGACTTGAGCAAATTCAACAGAATGAATTTGAAATATGGGATGCATGTCAAAACCACAAGACTGAACAATGGTATAATACCCGGAGTCGTAGAGGACGTAGTGAAATAATGACTCCTGTGGACAGCTGGTCAGGGTGACATTGGTATAACCTTTCTGGAGGACATCTTGACATGAATCAAAACCTTTAAATATGTCCCTATCCTTTGACCAAGCCATTCATCTTTCTCCTCTCAAAACATTCTACACTTGGACGCATAGGGATATGTAGAAAGAGATATCATTTAGGAGCATGCAATGCAATATTATAGTGAAAAACTAAAAACAATATAAAAATTAAACAATGGGATTGTTTAAATAAGTGATGATCCATTGATACTTCAGGATATTGCAGACATTAAATGTTATTGAAATCAAGACTTAATGACATGGGGTAATGGGTAAGATATAGATATATTTTATTTAGCTTAATTTTAATTTCCACAAATGATCTCAGTTCATGTTAAAACAAAAAAAGGAAGAGAGAAAGGTAAACAAAAAGATGAAAATCTCAGTGTTCAAAGAACACTTTTAATACTTTGGTGGAGATAGGTATAGATACAGTTACAGATGAAGATAGTGATATACATGTAAATCCGGATGTATATATAGATGTGTACATATACATACATATGACATAGTGTAATTTATGCAATAGCAAAAGTGCAAAGCATATAGTTGGATCCCAGTATGTATTTCTGACATACGTGAATGAATAGATATATGCTTAAATATTTTAAACAAAATTTACAAAACGCACTCACATTGTAAGACAATAAAATCCAGTTGTAAAAACTTGCAATAGATGCATGGACAGGTGACAGGTTAGAAGGAGTGTGGATGTTTTCACAGGACTGGACAAGGGGAGTGTTCTGGTTGCCACACTTAGTGCCTGAAGACAACAACAATCCTATGCTCATGGATTCTAGGAGCCATGAATTGATACATGAAAAAGGGCAGGTAGGTTGTCTCGGTTCCACAATGACCAGGAGTCAGTGGGAAATACTCAGACACCTGTGGGTGACTCCGATGGCTGGGGCCTGGAATCCACTAGAAGCTCCTTTTCTCACATGTTTGCCCCCTTGTCTGGGTTGTTTGAAAAGCTGGGCTCAGCTGGGACTGTCGACTGGAACACTTACCCTCAGCTTAACCACGTGGCTAAGTCTTCTCACGGTGCCGTGGCCAGTTTCCAAAGAGGGGGTCAGCATCTATAGTCAGCATTTCAAGACAGCCAGGCAGAAGCTGCGCTGCCTTTTATGGCCCAGTCCCAGAAGGTCGGAGTCACTTCCTTTGCAGCCTCTTTATTGAAAGCGTGCCCCTATGGCAGCCCAGACACAGGGGCCAGGAACTACTCTCCACCTTTGATGGGGGAGCAGCCAAGTCCCGTTACAGAAGAAAATGTGGGATGGGAGGGTGTGCTGTGGCCTTCTCTGGAAAATTCAGCCTCCCACAGGGAGCGAAGGGATATTCCAGAAGGTGAGGCTGTCCTTTCATGACATGCTGAGATGAGTTTGAGTGGAGAGCCTCTCCTCCATAGATAGATTTCTGGGCCAGAATTTGAGGATAAATTGAGAGATCTCTCTTCTTGGGTAGTGGGATGGCTATCTCTGAAATGGCCATTTTACAGAAAAGGTCAGCTGAGGGATGAGCTTACCTTGCAGCAGGAAACAACCAATTTTTAAAAAATCAACATCACTTTTATTGTCTTTTTTATTAGTATTCATTGGAGGAAAATTAAAAATGCAGATGAGCAACAGTAAGGGAAAAAATGTTAAATGCTCCCAATCTTACTATCCAGAGAATAACCTTAATATGTTTATTTCTATATGTATGTGTATATACATGTACATGCATACATTTACATACATTCTGTGTGTACATTTTTAAAACAGAATAGGATCATTTTGCACTTACAGTTTCCCAATACGCTCGTTAAAAGTTACTTCCTAACTCTTGATCGTGAACATTTCAGAATAACCTTTAGTTTTCTATAATCCATTTTTTATATTACAATGTATTATTTGTTTTTGTTGCACACACTCAGTGGAAATCGCACTAAATACCTTCAGTTGGGTATAAGTGTGCATGTATGTCCTCTTGGCATTCTCCCCTGTATACTTTTTCACTCAACAATGTATCATGGAGAGGACTGCATGTCAATAAATATAGATCTATGTCACTGTATTTAATGGTCTCATGAAAGTCTATTTTAGAGACATGCCATCGTTTTTTTATTTTTTTTTATTTTTTTATTTTATTTTTTTTTTTAAATATATTTTATTGATTTTTTACAGAGAGGAAGGGAGAGAGATAGAGAGCCAGAAACATCGAAACATCGATCAGCTGCCTGCCGCACATCTCCCACTGGGGATGTGCCCGCAACCCAGGTACATGCCCTTGACCGGAATCGAACCTGGGACCCTTCAGTCCGCAGGCCGACGCTCTATCCACTGAGCCAAACCGGTTTCGGCAAGACATGCCATCGTTTTTTTAAACCAGTTCCCTGTACGTGGGCCTCTGGCCATTTCTACGTTTTTTCTGAAGTTTTAAATAGCCATGTTTAATTATATTTTACCATAAAGAATTTTTAACCATAAAGATCAGTTTAAAAAATTCAACATGACTCCCCAGAATGCTCTGGAATTGTCTTTCCTGGGGGATCAGATAAACCATGTTTGAATTCAGGTCCTATGACTGCAGATACGGGTCTTCTCTTCTCTCAGCCTCTGTCTCCACATCTGGAGGAATAAGAATATGTGGTCACGTGTGAGTAACGTGCCTGGCACCGTGCCTGGCATATAGCAGTGCCCAATGGCAGATAGCGCTTGTGGTCAGAGCCTTTCAAGGGGTGAATGCCTATGCCCATCTGAGGTGTAGCCCTAGAGCTCAGAACGATGATCCCTTGTGTGGCTTAGGAGGGACTGGAAGTCATAGCTGCTTTGGTCCTCTTTCTAGAACTGGTTCCATTTGCATTCCCTGGGCGGTTGGGGGTCAGGTGGGTTTTTACCTTCCCAAGCTGCATATTTCTCTATCTGGCGCATTCCTGGGCAATCTGAAAATGCAATATCGCTGTCACCAGCTCGAGGAAGACACAGAGCCTGAATAATTTAACATGTCACCGCCATCCATCATGATAGCAAGAGTGCGGGCGATGGAGGGTGGAGGGGTGGGCCTGCTGAGGCCACCGAGCAGGACAGCCCAGTCAGAGAAGGTAGTCCTCAGAGAACGGTGAGTTAATTTCACAGGCCCAGGAAAGACCGCTCAGCCTCGCTCCTGCTCCAGCCTCTCCCATCATGACTTTCAACTTGCTCAGCTGCCCTAATTTGCTCCAAACTTGGGCTCAAGTTCCTAGTTTGCTGCCAAATGTTTGTGTCATCTCTGGGAGGCTCTAAATGCCTCTGAATAGCTTCATTTATTTATCAGTAAAATTGAGAGAATTCCCCTGTAAAGGGCTTAGCATCATGCCTGGAATATCTTAATTGCTTCCTCACCAGAAAGGAAGCTCCAGGAAGTCAGGAAGTCTTTGACTGCTATTCGCCGCCCTATTCTCAATGTCTAGAACAGGGTCTGGTATGAACCAGACACTGAGTTGATAATTGTTAAATGAATGAACAAGCAAATGAGTAAGTTATTTTTTTTTTGAGATGACCAGTGGGTCCAAGACAAACGGAAGGGTCACCCACCGCTTTCTCAAACATGGGGTCAAGACTCGGGGCCTGAGCTGGGCCCCTTTCAGTGTGGCTCTGGAATACCTCCTCTCTGTGTTTCTCCCCCCTCCCAACCCCCCCCCCCACACACACACAAACACAATTCCATCATTCTATAGTTCTGTCATCAGTCTTGTGCTATTACAAAGAGAACAGAGGGTCTATTTTTTAAAAAATATTTTACTTATTGAGCTAAGATTCACATAAAACATTATCCATTAACTTTTTTAAAATGTATAATTCAATGCCATATTGTAGATTCACAAGCTTATGCAACTATCACCTCTATGTAGACCCTGACATCTACATTACACTCGAAGGAAACTCCAGACTCATTAATGATCACTTTGTATTTCTCTTCTCCCTCTGCCCAGCCCTGACTGCCACCACTGCTCTCTGTCTCTATGAGTTTACTGATTTGGGATATTTTATATGAAAAGAATAGTATGACATATGAACTTTTAAATCTGGCTTTTTTTTCCCACTTAGCAGAACGTTTGCAAGGTCTAACCACATTATACCATATCAGCATTCCCTTTTCAGGGTTGAATAATATTCCATTATATAGATACTCCACATTCGGTTATCTATTTATCAGTAGGTGGACATTGGAGTGCTTGTCTTTTTTCTACCTTTTTGCTATTGTAAATAGTATTGCTGTGAACAGCGTGTATTGGAATGCCCTGCCTTCCATTCCTAGGGCAGAATGGCTTGGTCATGTGATAACTGTGTGTTTAACTTCTTGAGGAACTGTCAAACGATGTTCCACAGTGGCTGCCTCAGCTTGCATTCCCACCAGCAGTGTATGAGGGTCCAGTCTCTCTACATCCATCCCGACACCTGTTCTGTCCCATTCGGTTGATTGTGGTCAGCCTGGTAGATATGAACCGGTTGTTTTCCTTTGGCTTGGATTTGCATTTCCCTAATGACTAATCTTTTCATGAGAGCAGAGGCTTTTCCATGAGACGGAAGCTGGGTTCAAATCTGAGGGTGATGCCATTCGTAACGTGTGATCATTGATACGCAGCATTGAAACTCTGAAGGCTGGATTGCCCTCCGTAAACCTGAGATGGTCCCTGCCTCTCAGGCTGCTTGCGGAGTGTGGACGGGATACTGCATAGGCAGTGCCCAGAGCGGCGCACACCCTGCCGAGGTCTGTGCTTGGCCCATCTTCTTCACGGCTCCACCTCTTCTCATTCGGAACCAGCAGAACCAGGGGCTCCTAGAACAGGGCAGGGGACCTTATGGCTCCTCTTCTGTCCTCCTGTCGGTCTCTGGCCATTCTCACTTTCTCTCAGCTCCTAAATGGAAGTACGCGAGCAGCCCTGAGTAATGAATGGCTGTACTTTAGGTCACAAAGTCAACGATTTCATATTAAAATGCTAGCCGAGGGGGCCCTTTTCCATTCGACTGAATCCTCTCCAAGTCAGTCTGTACCTGGCCTGTGGCCCCTTCAGGTTAGATGGACACTCAGAGGCTAGACGTCCTGGGTGGCTGCCACCTCCCCAGGATGTCACAGAGGCCAGGGAGTCACCACCCATCCCATCGATGCTTCTTCTCTCCTAAGAAACTTGGGCAAACCTCGAATAAATGAATGTGCCTCACCGTCCCTATGTGTGGTCTGTGTGTCAACTATTTACATGCAGCACATGTACCTTCCCTCATACTATTCATGTGAGCTCATAGTTAGTGTCCCTCTTCTTTTAAAGATGAATTTGGAGAGGTTAGGGGCCTTGTCCACACCCACTCAGCTAATGAGGGAGACCAAGAATTAGAACTGGGGTCTGCCTTCAGTGCCCTGATTCCTTCCCACAGACGTGCTTGACCTCCGGGCTCATGGATGAAGCCAGTGCAGAAACCTGCTAGAGGCTAAGTGCCTTAGGGCAGAAGCAACGGCCATTGTCTTTTAATGGAATCTGAGCTGCATCATTTTTCTTCCAAGTCACATTAAAAAAATGATTCAACGCCTTCGTGGGGCCCGTGGCTTATTCATCTCTCTCCTGCGCCCAGATCCCGGTCCTTAATTATGCTCAGGAATGGTGGCTGTGTAAGTGCTTCCAGACCTGCGTTCCCCGCCACGGCGGGCACCTGATGCCTGGCTACTCTCTACCGAGATATTCTTTTTTTAAAAATATATTTTATTGATTTTTACAGAGAGGAAGGGACAGGGATAGAGAGTTAGAAACATCGATGAGAGAGAAACATCGATCAGCTGCCTCCTGCACACCCCCCACTGGGGACATGCCCGCAACCAAGGCACATACCCTTGACCAGAATCGAACTCGGGACCTTTCAGTCCGCAGGCCGATGCTCTATCCACTGAGCCAAACTGGTTTCGGCTCTACCGAGATATTCTTATGTATAAAATACACACTGGATTTTAAAGACTTATTGTGCAAAATCTATAAACTATTTCAGCATAATTTACATTAATTCCATGTTAAAATGACAATGTTCTTAGTATATTGGGTTTAATAGATATATTCTGAAAACTAACGTTTACTTTTACCCTTTTAACGTGGCTACTAGAACATTAAACATTGCATGTGTGGCTCACATGATATTTTTATTGGACAGTTTGGTGTAGAGGCAGCCTCGCTGAGCCTCAGTTTCCATTCTGAAAATGGTACCTTTGTAGTTAAGGAGGGAGGTGAGGGTCAGATGGGTGGGGATGCGGCAGAGGGAACTGGAGAAGCAGCCATGATAGTCAGGGGCATGGCATCTGTGTGCTTGGACACGTGGATTGCTGGAGGCATCCCTAGGATGTAGCTAAGCCTGAGTGAGTTCCTACCAATAGCACCATTACACCGGTTCGCAGCAGGAGCTATGGGAAGTGGAAAACGCACACAGGCATTGGGAGCAAGCCACCTGCGCGCCACTATCATGTCCTCCCTGGTATGCACAGCAGTGAGCTCATTCTCCTGCTCCAGAAGCTTCTATGACATCCATCCTCAGTGACACCCACGTCCTTCCACGTGTCCTCTAGCAGCATGTCCCTCCCAGTCAGTGCTCCACCCTATGGGACTGCCACCTGCCCACACTCCCCACCCAGGGGTGCCCCAGCTCTTACCTCTCCTTGGAACTCCGTTTCCTTCCACCGAAGCCTCATCCATCCTTCCAGCCCCGACTCCATCTCCCTTCCCCCACAAAGTCTCCCAGGTCACCTGTGCAGTGACAGGTTGCTCTCCCACATGTTCCGGGGTCTTGTGTGGAAAGCATAGCCATGAGTGAGGTTAAAAGCACCATGGGACCCCATTTGTCGCCACGACTAGCTTATGATCCCCTGGTTGGCAAGGATCGGTTGTATCCCTGTATGTCCAGTGTCTGGCTCTGGGCCTGGTACACAGTAAGCACTTGGCTGAAATGTGTGTGAAATCAAGTTGCCTGGAGTGTTTCTTAGAGGCAGGCTCATCGCACTTAAGCAACCAGTATAGCTCTCAATTATTTAGTAGCCACCATGGACCGGGCATTTCACATGTCCTGTCTCCTTTCATCCTCGAAGCAATCCTGCAAGGTTAAGAGTTGTTGTCCCTGTTTTAGCAAGAAGGAACCTGTGCTTCCTCAAGGTCACACCGCCCTGGGGCTGCCACGGCACCGGTTAGAACCCCAACTCCTTCCCTAAGCCACGCCCACCCCCGGGTGCCCTGGGACTTACAGAAAGAAGTCAGGGTGGGGTTGCCCATCTTGGGAAGGAGGAGGGTCTGACAAGCTGCCGTGGCCACGATGACTGATGGATGTGCTTCCTCGCAGGGGGCATCAGCTTCGGGAGAACCAAGGGGACGTCGGGGTCAGAGGCAGACGACGAGACACAGCTGACGTTCTACACGGAGCAGTACCGCAGCCGCCGCCGCAGCAAAGGTAACGGAGGCTTCGGGAAGGTTCCAGAACCACTTCGTAGGAGGAAAGCCTGGGCGGCGGATTTCGTGTTTCATGACAGACCCTGAATCTTCTTCACCCTGTGGTCCCAGTCAGTCGTCACTGAGCTTGGTAACGAAGCCCTGGCTAGACGAGTGACCGTCACCATACCCTCTCCCTTCAGCCTGTGTGTGCTTTCTGTCCCACTTCGTTCCTCTAAGGCAGTGGTTCTCAACCTTCTGGCCCTTTAAATACAGTTCCTCATGTTGTGACCCAACCATAAAATTATTTTCGTTGCTACTTCATAACTGTAATGTTGCTACTGTTATGAATCATAATGTCAATATCTGATATGCAGGATGGTCTTAGGCGACCCCTGTGAAAGGGTCGTTGGACCGCCAAAGGGGTCTCGACCCACAGGTTGAGAACCGCTGCCCTAAGGATTTAGGGGTGGGTTTTTTTAAGTTTGTACAGTTAAAGAAAATCCAGTGCAGGAAGTGAAGTAACTAAGAGAATCAGATGGAAAGGGAAGAGGAAGGAGGAAAGTTATTGAAAGGCAGGTTAGAGTGCTGCAGGGTAACCTGTGCCATACTGCCTGGTGGTTCTCAGAGCCAGCTGACGGTGTAAGGCAGGATTCTCAGCCATCAAAGGGCCTAAGGAAACATACTCAGCCATACAATAGGCAGAGGCTACGGGACAGAACCAGCATTGACTCAGGAAATTCTACTCACCTGACACCAGGACCAGAGGGACAGTTGGGCCCTGTGAACACGCCACCCTGTGACTCTCTGGGCCGTGCCTCCAGCAGGTGAAACTAGTGTCACTGAATGATCATTGCTCACAATGACGCGCAATGTAAACATCAACACGCTGGGGCGGGGCTAAATCCACCAAGGGCCAAGGGCCATTGTTCTCGGGGATAAAATTTGCTCTGAAGGGAAAATAGACCATATTTCAGGCAGGTGCCTGTGGGTATAATTCCTCACCCCTGAGCGTTTTTTGTAAGGATGAGAAATTAGCAAGTTCAAGATCACATTCCTAGAAAAGAAGCTGGGTTGCCAGCATTCCAGTGATGAAGGGCAACTCCATGGGCCTGGAGCAGGCCCTGGAAAGAAGCAGGGTCCTGCCCTAGCTGGTTTGGCTCAGTGGGTAGAGCATCAGCCTGCAGACTATAAGGTACTGGGTTCGATTCCAGACAGGGGCACATGCCCGGGTTGTGGACTGGATGTCCAGTAGGAGGCATGTAGGAGGCAGCCAATCAATGATTCTAGGAGGCATGCAGGAGGCAGCTCATCAATGATTCTCTCTCATCATTGATGTTTCTCTCTCTCTCTCTTTCTCTCTCTCCTCTTTCCTCTCTGAAATCAATAGAAATATATTATAAAAAAAATAGTAGGGTCCTCTGGCAACCACGAAGGCAGCTCATCCAGGCACATGGCAGCCTGTGGTCCTCGTGCCTCTCCAAGAAGTGGTCTGGGGAAGTGCCTGTGTTTGGGAAGAGGCTTCCCCACAAAATGATCCTGTATGCATTCCACCCCTGTGTTCCAAGAGCACAGATGGCACAGCTTCTCTGGGCTCCTTTTGCTCTTAAGCAAGTTATCTTCCTTCCCTATACCTCAGTCTTCTTATCTGTGAAATGGGTCTCGTAACTGCCTCACAGAAACTTGAAGGTGGATTTTGGTTGTGATATATTAAAAAAATGTATTGTGGCGCCTGGTATATATTAAGGGCCAAAGAAGTAGACATTATTCATGTCAGTTCACTTCTTATTGTTTTCCATGTCTCGCTATTCCTGGTGCCTTTCACTGAAAAGCCCCGCGTGGGGGTGCCTGGGTTGGCATATTACCTGGGAAGCTTTTGCAGCCTCTGCAGCCATTCGAAGCAGTGGCCTTGCCTCCCCTCCTCCCCATGTCTGGGCTGGCTGGTGTCTGCGGCATTGGAGATTTAGAAGTTGATGATGGATGATTCTTGACCTGTCTTCTCCCTCTCCCCAAACTGCTGCCAGAATTCGGCTGGGCAAGGTGGTGGGTCTCCTCTGCAGGACTGGCTATTTATAGCTAATTGGGAACACATCCATCACTGAGCGTTCCCCTCGTAAATCAGAGGTAAACTTAGCGAAGCAAAAGCAAACCGCAGGATGTGAGGGAAGTGACTTGGCCCGGTGCCTCCACACACTCAAAGGCCGGGCAGTGTTTCCAGGATGGCGAGGATGCCAGGGCTGTGGTGCCCCCCCCCACACACACATACACCTTCCTCCGGCCCTCTTGCCAGCTGAATGCCAGAGCCACTTGCTTCATCTCTGCCCTCCACATATTGTCCAGAGTGACAGTCCCTCTCCCTTCGCCTCTGGTCCCCCCACATCTGTCTCTTCCTCCTCAGTATCCCTTGTTCCGAGGGCTCTGCAGGGGGCTGAGTGGTGCTGGGGAAGATTATGATACACTTTTTGGGAGAAAAAGTAACACCAAATGTAATCTGGGTGATTCTCACTGTCCCAGCTTTGAGAGGAAAGAGAGAGATGGGGGGACACCAGAGAAATGTGGGGTCTTCCCAGAAGAGTTGAAGCTGGAAAGTAACCTGGGCCCAGGTAGGGCTCTGTCGCTGTCCACCCACATACATGAGCCAATAGCCTCAGTATTCTTGTCTTTGAAATGGGGTGGCAGTACCTCCCTCTCAGGTAGTTGTGAGGATTGAATGGGAATACAGGCATCTCCTTTGTAGCTATAAGTCTCGGTAAAAAGTTACTCCTTTCTCCATCATAGCCGTCCTAGTCCCTGTCACCTACGTTCTTTGCTTGAAAACTGCTAAAGTCACCTTCTCAATGGCCTCACTTAACTGTCTTCCAACCCAGTAACAGCGGGATCCCTGCCGTTGCTTCTCTGCTTAGAAGGGGGAATGTGACCTTCTTACCACCTACAGACCTCTGAGGGTCCGGCCTGCCCACCTGCCCAGGGCTGTTACTCCTGCCACTCAGGCCTCCTCCCTGGCACTGTCCTGCCAGAACCTCCCCAATGTTCTCTCCTGGCACACACCCCTGCCCTTTGCCTCCCTCCCACTCGCTGGCATCTCCATGGAAACGGTATGTCTTCCTGGAAGCCATCCCCACACCGCATTTCCCTGTTTATTCTGTTCCAGTTCCTGTGTTCTTCCCCGCTGTAGACCGCATGGCCGCCGTAACTTTACATTCGCAGATATGTCCTCTGGGCTATATTTGTACACCACCCTGACCTGGGTGCTTCCTCTGTGCAGTGTCCTCTGTGCCCAGCTTTCCATCCTGGGCACCGACCACATGGGCGGGTTGAGAGTGGGAACTGCGTGCATCCTTTGGAATGAATGAATGGTTAATGAATGAAGGACAGGCATGCCTGGTGCAGTGTCTGGATGGCTACAAGTGCTCAGGGTGGAGGTTGCTTTTGTGGCGCCTCCCCTTGTTTTCTCTCACTCTACTGTCACTTGCTGGGAGTGGTCCTCTCTCCTTTCCCTTCTCCCTCCTGCTCCTCCTGGGCAGCACGGAGGCCTCAGCCCTGCTCATGCTTCCACCTCAAGGTCAACGACAGGGAAGGCTGTCAGGTGGCATGCCTGGCAGGGGGAGGGGGCCTGAGGCCTGATGCTGGAAACCCACTCTGCCTGGGTGCTTGGAGCGCATTGGAGGGTGTGACCTTTGAAGAGATGTAGCAAGTCCAGGAGGTTCTCTGGCAGGGGTGGATATACCTAGTGCTGATGGTAGAGAAAGCAGTGGAATGGGAGAAGAGAAAAAACATCCAGCAGGTTTTTCCTACCTGGATCTCTCTTTTCAGCATGCCTCATACGGGGCTAGAAGTGACATTATGTTCAGCTGGACCTGGCTGTGAGTCCTGACTACCTCATCTCCTGTGTATGGCTGGGCTTTTAGCATCCAGGAGCTTCCCTCTGTATCAAATAAGAGCTGTTGACACCTACCTCACAGAGTACTCCGGTGTGGAGATGGAAGGTTCCAGAACTCACCCAGAGGTGCTCAAGAAATTTAGTTATTTCCTCCTGAAATTCCCCTTTTCTTGAACATATTCTGAACCCCAAACTGCATCAGCTAAAATCTGATTTGGGGCAATAAGATCCACTGGACACGAGATTTATGGTATAATCTGGGAATCACCTCTGGCTCCTCTGAGCCTCGGTCTCTTGGAAAGGAAAATGGATATGTTATTCGGCTGTGCCTGGTATGGCCAGGCAGAACCCCATCCCCAAGCAAAGAACTGTGGCCACCAACATGGTGAGGGCGTAAAGGCAGAGACAAAGGGGCTGAGAAACAGAGACTCAGAGACCAGGTGTGTGTCTGGTGGGATTTCCTAAAGCAGGAATCAGCAGCCTTTTTCTGTAAATGGCCAGTTACTAGACATTTCTTGGCTTTGCAGGCCAGATAGTCACTGTTGGACCTATTCTGCTCAGCTGTTGTACCTTGAAAGCTGCCATAGACAGCACACAAATGAAGGAACGTAGTGTGTCCAAATGACACTTTATTCCTAAAACAAAAAGCCAAACAACAACAACAACGAAACACACCAATACAACAGTTTGCTGACCTGCGCCCCAAATAATCCATTTACGCCATACAGGTGGCCCTCACCTGTAGGACTGGTCCAGGAGGCATGGGTGACATGTCACAATGATTTATGAAGTGAATCCGGTCTCATATCATACATGTCCTTGCTGCCTAAGAAGTCCGTTTGTCAAGCAAAGACTTCGCCGTTTGGTGATGTAAATAACCATTGAACCCATCACTTGCTTGGATTTGCCAGTTCTCATGGCGTTCTACAAAAGCAACCAGTGAAGTAGCTGGATAGGGAGGTGCCCAGTGGGCAGAGTTTCACCCTTTCTTAACCAGAGATGACTGGACAGACAGCCAAAGGCACTGGGCCCAGGAGGGGGAGGTGCGTATTGAAGTCTGTAGCCCCAACCGTGACTCACTCAGGGACCCTTGGCAAACGTGCTTCCTTGGAGCCTGAGCTTTTCTTCTGTCAGACAAGGAT